TAATAATAAAGCAACACATTTAAACAGTTTTACAATTTATGTTATAACATTTGAATGAAACTTTAAATGACTAATGTTTATAGAATATTTTTGAAAGTATAATACGCTTACAACGTTTTTACAGAAAAACATCTGACATCCTGTATAATAAATCAAATTTTTTGTCTAAATCGGTACGAACTTGCACTGTAATGCATTTCTGCGATTTCGTGGAATTTTAAGTTTAAAAAATATTGGAATTCTTGATTTTAGAATGAAGGTAATTATGCATTTAAACCCCTTTGTCGTATTTTCACGAGTCTAACTCGTGATGAAAATTTCGGGCCAAACGTAATCGTCAAGAATCAGGCTCGTAATCGTAATATCATGTTAAACATATTTATTACACGAATCTGACTTGTATTAAACCGTTCAAAACAGTTTTTGCATTTTAGTTTTGCATTAATCGGAATGTTTCGTAAATATATAATACCATGCAGGATTATTAATTATTAGAATTGTGAGTATTTTTCAATAAAATATTATAATCATTTGGGAATAACAATATAAATAAATTGTTCGTTCATATTTTGTTATTTGTTGAATATGTTAATGTTTAAAAATGTTTTTTTTTTTAAGTTATACTTCTTTTGGCGCGTTTTGGAAAGTGAAGTTTGATGCGACCGAAAAATCAACACCACGAAGTTATCGATATTTACGATGCGTGGGCAAATTGAAGTTATTTTTGAGGTTATTAAGGTTATATTCGTTTTGGTACGCTAAAAAAGTATAACTTCTTACGTGCGTACATAAGTACACACGACAGTTTTTTTTTTTTTATAGAATTATCTATTTATTAATGCATTACCGTATAAAATCTTGGATAAAAATTAAACGGAGGAAAAGCGTTGAACTAATTTTGAAATATTTCGTTAAGTAAATGTTCAATGAACAATTTAAACCCAATTACAGCGTTGGTACTGACAGAACTTTTAACGTTATGCTTTTTTAAAATAATATTTCTAATACTGCATCGGGGAAAACAACGTTGCAATATAATCTCAATTAACAAGTAAATTTGTTATTTATGCAAACTTTTAAAAACATAATTCAATTGTATTCATTATCAGGCAAAGATTCCATATTTATATGTTGAAATCGAACAAATATTAACTGCATTATGCGCGTTTGAAGAAACCATAACCTTAAGGTTATGGTGATTTGACCCTTCACGATAGGAATAGGCATACATGAAGTTTCGATTGATTTATTGTTAATATTAAAAATTACATCGTTAAATATTTTCATTTATTACTACTATGATATTATATATACTAAAAAATAAAATGTTAATCCCATATTCCCTACACTTTTAATTTGGTTTCACCAACGTTTTGTCGTCTCAAGTTATCTTCCTTTAGTATCTTGTATTGTTTTGTTTGATTTTTTCTATTATAATTTTTTAATTGATTGACGATTGATTCTATCAATTAATTTGTCAATTGTTTGATACTTTAGATATCGAACAAAAATAAATAAATAACATTATGTTAATTTAAGCGTACAAAAACGTTGCTGCTATTGTTCCAGCAAAGATTTTATTTTCATTTTAACGAATGCCTAGTAGGTAATGTGCAGTTTATTTAGGTAATTTGAGAAATGAAACTATTGTCGACACTTTAACGGATCACCCTAGTTAATCTACACATTACCTAGATAATTTGGAGAATAACTAATTTTTCTACTTTAAACATATTAACATATTATATAAATATCGTATATTCTTACCTTGCGCATAATCCACAAATTGCTCCAATGCTGACTATCCATTTGGCCCAATCCCATCCAATCACTTCAAATAAATGTGGAAAGGGTGCGTCGGGATTTTGTTCATAATAAGGTAGAACCATAGTAAGTACAGCTGAGACTCCGAAATACGCGAGAAAGACAACAGTTAAGGATGCAACAATAGCTATTGGTATTGATCTTTGTGGATCTTTAGCTTCTTCACCCGTAGTTGCAACACAATCAAAACCGATGAACCCATAGAAACATGTTGCCGCGCCTGTAATTATACCTGATATCCCATATGGTGCGAATCCTCCTGTTCCGTGTTTGCAACTTGACTCGGTACAAGATGGTCGAGTTTTCCAATTATTTACATCAGCTTTGAATGCGATCAAAAATCATTTTAACGAAAGAAAATAATAATGGATTTAATTGTTTAGGGCAATATATTAAAATGAATAGATATTTTACAAATTGCCCCGGTCATTCTGTAATACGTGCTTTAATTAGCTCTGCTCAAAGTACGGGACTGGGGAAAGTGTTTTTTAAGTTCGTTTAAAGGATACAATCTTTAAAATATGTTTCAGTGGCTCTATTTAAAGCACGGGGGAAAGGGGATTTTTCAATTTTCATGATTTCTTTCATTTACAATAGGTTTACTCAGATTTTCCCCCCTACCTCACCCCTCATTGTGCTCTAAATACAATCAACTGTAGCACATTTTATAAATTGACCGAAATCCTCTGAGTATTTTATAGAATGATCAGGAAATCTGTGAAATATCTGTTCATTATTTGCATTGACCTTATTACATAATCATAAATTATTTATAATTAATACGATTTACCTTTGAGAGAACCAGCAATGATTACGAAGAGAACAACAGAGAGATTCACTAAGGTGAAAAAGTTATTTGCAGTTGATGACTCTTTGGCACCAAATGCCAAGGCAGCTGTGAAAAATAAGATGTACAGTATAAATATATACATACTTATATAAAACTTGTATTTATCAGTGGCGGATCAAATTGAGTGGAGGCCCTAAGAAATCAAAATTACGGGTCCCTCATATTCACTGTCAAGTTGGAGAAAAAAATGTTTCAACAAAATTTTTTATTAACACGTTCTGTGCCGCATGGGACGTATGCGTTCCCAGTCCGTTCAAGCTTTTCGTTATTTTCATTGTAAAATGAAGAGCAATATTCAGTTATGTGTTCGTTAAATAATTCCTAAAAAACTAAATATATTACTTTGTTGTTTTATGCATCTTAAACTATACATTCTCTTTTCTTAATAATTATGATATTTATATTATTTAATTATTGACGTATTGCATACGTCAGAAGCAAAACAATGCAATAATAAAGCGTGGGATGTATACGTCCCACACGGCCTGAACGGAAAGTATTCTAATAAAATCAAAACGGTACGAAACATGTTAACAAAAAAGAAAATTAATGAAAAATTATACTATACTGCAATAATCGTCGATATTTAAGTCACCTAACCTATAATTTTACTTAAGAATGCTCTTAAAAGAGTGAAAATGTTTGGAGGTTAGTTTATGTAAATAATAATTTAAATGTAACATATTTTAATAACAAAGTTAAATATTTATATTTTTAAAAATTGAGTAGAACCAATTAATTATTTATAAAACTATTTTGATAGCAGCAAAGAGTGATTAATCAATGAGAAGATAATCATACTGCAAGTATCGTTATCAGTAACCAATAAGAATGTACCAATAATTGCATGTGATTATATCACACATACAATAAAACTATAAATAAACTTATGAAAAAAATATCATTTTTCTCGAACCCTAATAGAAAGTTATTTGAAGATCTTGAGGAGCTTTTAGAACCATTTGGTATTCCACGTAACTGTTTAATCCCATTACAGCTTAATCCGCCACTGGTATCAATCGTATCGTGGTTAAAGAAAATAATGAATTACCAGAGAACATAAGGGTGATACCGAAAGCGAAAAAATCTGGATAAGAAGAAAAGTGTTCAACTTCTATAGGAGCTGCCGATTCGAAAGCATTTCTCATACTATTATTGAATAGTGCATCAACGTAAGTGCTAAGACCACGTACCACGCTAGCTGAACCTATCACATATTCTAATATCAGTGTCCAACCTATTAGAAAGGCAACAAATTCACCCATTGTCACGTAACTATAAACATAAGCGGAACCAGCTCGTGGTACTCTTGCTCCGAATTCAGCATAGCAGAGACCTGAAAAGATATTACATTTTTTTTTTAATCAAACGAATAATCATCATACGAATATATAAAAAAAAAAATATATTTTAGACGTTAATAAAAGATCTTCGATATAAATGTAACATAAAAATGGATGAAACGGTTGGCAAAAGTGTCCAATTACCAGCAAATATCGATGCTACAGCAGCTATTAAGAAAGAGATTACAACAGCAGGTCCTGCAATATCCTTCGAGACTGATCCTGCCATAACGTAAACCCCGACACCAAGAGTTGATCCAATACCCAAAGCTGTTAAGTCTAACGTTGATAGACATCTTTCCAATTTCGAGTCTGTACTAACATTTATCCGTTTTTTTCGAATGAAGGCTTTATACAGACTACGGAGATTCCATGATTTCATATCGTGTAACTGTTAAAAGTTTTTTATTTATATATACATCATACTCAAGCAAATACGTGTATAAAGAATCAATCATGTTTTATGATCGATAAATTCATTGGAATGTTGAATGAATTTTGTGTGTGCGTTTTTGTTTTGTTTGTTTGTTTTGTTTCAAATAAATTTCATTGAAACAATATGATTTTTTAACTTACAAATAAAGCATTTGTTGATATGTAATCCATTTTGGTTTTGTAGAATTTTACGAACACTCGGATAGAAAGAATCGAATTTACGTTAGAATTTCTATCGATGACGTCTGGCATAAGACTAACATAAGAAGCGTTAATTGAAATAATGCCCGTTAAATTGTACGCAACTCTCTCGTCGTAGCCTATTGTCGATATTTCTTTTTAAATCTTTCAATTGGTCGAATTAAAGACATAAGGCCTTGCACTAACTAAATATTATCTAACTATAAAACATTTTACATCGAATCGTTCGCAGTCACGAGATATGTTTTGTTTCTTTTACTTTTCCCCCTTTTTTTTCTTCTTTTTTTTTTTTTGTTTAAAAATTTACACCGGCACGAGACTACACAACGTATCAGAGATATATATAATATTGAAGCTAATCATTTATCTATGCGTTTCTTATCTATCTAGATAAGATCATTTTAATAACAACATTATAACTTTCTTCGAATTTTAACTGACCGGTATATACAATTGATTACGAAAATATTTGAACGTTGGTTTTGTATTTTAAATAAATGTACGAATGACTAGAAAAATATATTATGCTATAATATAATTGCATGGTTTCTAGATAACAAAATTACAAAATCTGTTATAGGTTACCAATCAAATTTCCTGGGATTTTTTTAAAATTTTTTGAAAGTTCATTTTTCAATAAAAATTAATAAAATTCAAGAAAATAATAACGCGCGGAATGTTAAAATTAAAAATAAAAAACGGCGGTAACTTGATCGCTAATTTAATATTTATTAATCATATATAAATTGTTTCAATAATGGAAGAGAATCGAAGAAAACGCTAATAACATAATTAATAATAAAATATTAATATTCAATATATAATATAAATCGCCCTGTATATTCAGATTACTGCAATATTAACATAAATAATATAACGTTAAATAAAGTTGTTAATAATGGGAGAATGAAAGTATGGAGAAATACAAAACATAAATATCAAATCTATACTGACGTCCGAATATTTTTGTGACCGACTGTATTTGTACATACATATATACAAGGTGATTCACAAATCGTGATCAGTAGGGATTACTGATCTGTTATCCGATCGGAAATGTTTTTATCGAATATTACATACTTTCAAAAGAGTTTTAATACGCGTATAACCAATTTTTTGAAGTTATTATCAATTGTTTTTCTTTTATAATTTTTCGAGATCACCTTGAGTTTATTTCTTTTTTGCATATAAACGTATAAAATTTTTTTATGACCATTTGTTAGAGGATTACAATACGAATTTGGTAAATACCGTAATATAACACGTGTTACTATTTAAATCTTTCAATTGATCGAATTAACGACGTAGGCTTTGATCTAATTAAATATTATCTAACTATAAACTCTTTTACATCTCGAATCGTGTTCTCAGTCACGAGCGTTGTTTGTTTTTTTTTATTTTTTTATTTCGATGAAAAGTTTACACCGACACGAGACTACTACAACGTATCAGAGGTACATAATATTGAAGTTAATTATTTATCTATGCGCTTTTTTATCTATCTTACAATTAGTACGAATAGATAAAATCATTTTTAATAATAACATTATAACTTTCTTCGAATTTTAATTGACCGGTATACAATCAGTCACGAAAATGTTTGAACGTTATTACAGATATGATATTTATGTTTTGTATTTTAATTAAATATATAAATGACTAGAAAATAGATGGGCGTAAAAAAAATTATATGCAATAATATGTTTATAATATTAT